ACCAAAGTAACTTCAGCAGAGCTAGTTTGGGTCCTTGTGACCACATTTCCCAAATAGAAAGTCCCTGGGGAGGAGCATCTGACCACGTGCATCATCTGTGTCCCTTGCTGTGCCTGAGCCAAGGCCCTTCCTGGAGACAGTGGCACTGAGGCGGGTCCTTGTGACCACATTTCCAAAATAGAGAGTCCCTGGGGAGACTCACAGGAGGAGCATCTGACCACGTGCATCAGCTGTTTCCCTTGCTGTGCCTGAGCCACAGCCCTTCCTGGAGACAGTGGCACTGAGGGCAGGTCAGAGGTGGCTCTGGAGCCCTCCTGGCACAGGCACTGAGCTCAGACTCTGGTCCGGATGGATTTGAGGTGGGTTTTTTTGGTGGATCCAGTGTCTCAGCATTGCTGCCCTGTAACAATTCTGTTTTCCCTGTTACCTGGGGGAATCCATCACTGATTCCCCCAGAGAAGCTCTCAGCAGCAGCTGCTGGGGCTGGGCTTCTTCAGCACTGGCCAAAGAGAGGAATATGGAGGAGAGTTTAGATGAGTTTGGAAAATTCACTTGAACTCCACCTGTGGGAGTTGGTGAGGGGCAGCCTTGGGGAGAGGCCCAGACCCCTGAACGAGTGAGGGAGGCCTCTGGTGGGAGCTGCCTGATGCTCACAGGCCCAGGCCTTGCAGGCCTGCCTGAGCAGCCTCAGCAGCAGCAGGTGCCCTTTGGCCACTGGCCTGGCTGCTGGGCATGCTGGGGTCAGGAGAAGGGCTGCAGAGCAGACAGAGGCAGCAAGAGATCTTCCTGGTGATGAGCAGAAAGGGGAAGCTTTGGGGAGACCCTGAGTCCGTGCTGGAGCTAAGGCCTTGCTGCCCCAAGCCTGGGGTATCTGAGGGTGGCAAGTTGCTCTTGCCTATTTCCAGGTGTAGGATGAAGGATTTGGGTGTGTTGAACAGTTTCCAGGAACACAAGATTTAAGCAATTGTAAGGGAAGGAACATTGATTCTCTTGCAGTTATCTGACACTTCAAACTGCATCTAGTGAAAATCTCTGTGCGCTGTGTTTTGTTTTTTAGGTTTCCCAGACAATTGGAGCAATGTCATTCTCCATGCCTCATGACTGGGATAACAGAACCATCTATTTACATTCCCCATTTTCGTCAGGACAGCACTGCATCCCACTTCATGGTTTGTAATCTTCACTTGGATAGTTTTGGTTTGTTTTTCTTCTTTTTTTCTTTCCCTTTCTCTGTGTTTGGTGGAGAAGAGAGGGTGTCCTGGTCAGCAGGAGACAGCTGAGGCAGAGAGGCACTGTGCAGGGTGTCTGGTTGCTTCTCCATCCCTCAGCAGCTTTGGAATTTAATAGCCAGCTTTGGCAGAGGGGTGAGTTTCTCAGGTTTCCCCTGTGTAAGGACAGATGTGGTGCAGGGGGTGAGAGGTACCAGCTGGGAGCTGCCCCCTGCCCTCGTGCACAGCACACAGTGGGCTCTGGCCGTGGAGGAGAGAGACCAGTGAAGCTGTAGGAGCTGGGCTGGAACAACACAGGGGGGTGGGGAGGCTGCTCTGTGCCCCAGGCCACTCAGCACACAGTCTGCAGGCTGCCAGCTCCAACCTGGGTGTTTTGGACTAACACAGACCTGCTATAACCAGGATCATTCTGTGGCTATGCAGGACACTGGGTTTGTTCTTTCCTCCTGGTGCACAGTGCTCCAAGGACACAGGTCCAGTCTCATCTCCATGTTTTCGAGTCCATGCAGCTTAGTCTAGACTAATGTCATACAAGACACTTTATTGTTAATTTCACACCAAACAAGGGGTTCCTTTGTACTACCAGGTTTATTTTTAGGCCCTATTTTAGGTGTACTGAACACGATATTAAACATCTGTTGTTTACACAGGGATTTGGGCCTCTCCTGGCTGTGACTATTTCACCAGCCCAAGGCATGTTTTGAGGCTGGGGAGCAGCAGTGGGTGGTGACTGTACAGCAGGACACAGTTCCAAGGCTCATCCTCTCAGCTTTTCTTCCTCTCCTCTCTTGTCTTCACTTATGGGTTTCACTCAGTTTGTTCATCTTGCCCACTGGTTACGCTGTGAGGGGACTGTCACACTGCACACCTGTAGCTTCAGAAGCAGGAGAAATGGCCAAGAACGATGTCACTTGCTTATCCTTAAACCAGCAAGAGGTGCAGGTGTGGAAGGTGCTGAGCCAGTGCAGTCACTGCTGTGCAAGCCTTTATCTTCCTCTTTAACCTTGCTTTTAGAAATGAGCGGTGCAGAGGGAGCAGATAAGAGTTAACTCATCCAGGTGCAGATTTTAAGAAGTCTTTCCCAGTTGTTTTTTTAATGTGCTATGAAGGATTGTCATTATCTGTGCAGTTCTCATCAGTGCTGACACTGAAGAATTCCTTTTCTTCTCTCTCCCTGTCTTTCATCATAGTCGTTAGCACAGAGCTGGATGAGTTGATGATGGAAGCCCAGCTGCTGCAGGTTTCTCTGCCTGAAATACAGGAGCTGTACCAGATCCTGTTCACAAAGCCCAGCTCTGTTGTGCCAGCAGAGCAGAGGTCGTCCCTTGGACCCACCAGTGAGAAGGCAAGTGTCAGACAGCAGCAGGGTGGGGGTCACATGGAGCAGGGGCTCTGCCTGAACCCACAAGCTTTGCAGAGGTCTGTGGGTGTGGCTGTGCTCCCATGGAAATGTGTTTTCCTTGTTCAAAGGGGGTCAATAAGTTGGTAACAAAACAAATTTGGTACAAACTGTTGAATATAAATAGTGGCCCAATGCATTTTTGTGATTTGAATCTGGTTTTTATGGTCAGTCTGTCTTAAATACATCTACCATAAAGTGACTCCTGCCCTGTGTTGCAGAGGCTTCCTGGGAGAGCTGCCTCTGAAGCAGGGGCTTGGGCAGCAAATGAAACCCTTTTTTTCTACAAATTCTGTCATGGGGGTCTGACCTTCCCCTTTGCTCCCCTTGCACATCCCACTGCTGCAGGAGAGGCAGCACTGCATCAAACTCTGCACTTCCCCCTGAGCCTCCCCGGGGGCAGCAGGATGTGGGGGAGCAGGGTGCTGGGCATTAGCTGCACCTTCACAGGCTCACCAAAACATCCTCCCCACAGAACGAGTGCTGCCGAGGGAAGAAGGAGGGGATTAGCTCCATGGAGAGAAAACTCAAGCGGCGCTTTGAGAGGGAGAGTTTCTGTGATGAGAAGAGAGCAAGAGTAAAAAAAATGAGAACCCCCAAAAAGAAGAAGCTGAAAGCGAGTCCCTGCAGGGAGCTGTGCACGAACAGAGCGGAGCGGGAGCGGCCCCCGGAGGCGCAGCGCCCCGGGGACAGCCACCTGCCCCCCTCAGACACCTCCTTCTCCGAGCAGGAGGACTCCGAGGACGAAGATGCCATCTGCCCTGCTGTGAACTGCCTCCAGCCTGAGGGAGACGAGGTCAGGGGACACAGACCCAGACCCGCTGGGGGGGGCTGGGGGCTGGGACCTTCCCGCTGCCCTGGAACTCTCTGACTGCAGAGAGGGTGTTTGCAAGGAGCAGGGGCTGCTGCTGGGACAGGTTTAGGAACTGTCCCCCCACCTTCTCCAAGAGCAGCCCTGCAGCTGGGACTGGGGGGCATGTGAGCATCTGCCTGGAGGCAGAGGGAGGAGGTGGGGGCTGTGCAGACACCTCACTAGGTTCATCTCTGCTCTCGAAATGCTGCTGCAGAGAGACTTTGGGGGCTGTGGCCTTTCTGTGGGTGGGCTTGGAGCCCTGCACAGGCCCCTCCATACCCGAAAATGGGGCCGAGGGACATCCCCGGGTGCCTGGGAGGGCTGTGGTGAAGCTGCAGTGGGTGGGGTCAGGGAGATGTGCCCGTCTCCCTGCTTCAGAGGAGTGAGACTGGGCACCTGGGGAGCGGGCAGCGGGGCCGAGCCTCCAGCAGGGGCAGAGCCCAGCAGTGCCCCGTGGGGGCTCTGAGGCCCCTCCATACCCGAAAATGGGGCCGAGGGACATCCCCGGGTGCCTGGGAGGGCTGTGGTGAAGCTGCAGTGGGTGGGGTCAGGGAGATGTGCCCGTCTCCCTGCTTCAGAGGAGTGAGACTGGGCACCTGGGGAGCGGGCAGCGGGGCCGAGCCTCCAGCAGGGGCAGAGCCCAGCAGTGCCCCGTGGGGGCTCTGTGCCCTGGGGCTGCCTCTGAACACGCTGTGTCTGCTCCCATCAGGTGGACTGGGTCCAGTGCGACGGCAGCTGCAACCAGTGGTTCCACCAGGTGTGTGTGGGCATCTCCCCGGAGATGGCAGAGAAGGAGGACTACATCTGCAGCAGCTGCACGGGGAAGGACTCCCAGCTTCGGAAGTGAAGCTCCACAGGAACCCTTCAGGACTCGAGTGAAGGTTACCAGAGTTTTCCAGTAAAGCCACAGGGGCTGGTTTAAGAACCAGGTTGCAAATGGTGCTACTTCTATCCTTATGGGATCATTTTCCAGAACTCAAAACGATTTTTGACACTTTTGTATTTTCCCTTGATCTGTTTGTGGTTGTTGAGGTTTGAGATGCTGACTGTTTAACAGGGGTTTCCACCAATTTGGAAAGCATTTGAAACATGCACCTTTTCTTGTACAGCATTAAATTACCTCTCTGGGATTTACCGGCCTATTTAATTCAGCTTGGTTTAGGTGCAAAAAAACCTGCACCATGAATTTTCCAATAAGTCCTCTTTTGAGGAAATCCCTGTTTACTCTGTTAACTCCTTGGAGACTTTAGTTTTTTTTTCCACTTTGTTTTTTCGTAGACTAGGTTTATTTATCTGAGCAATAACTTCTATGTCTGGTTTCAGTGACTGGAATGACAATTCTGAACAGCGTGTTGCTTCTAGCATTGGTTGGTGTACAGAAGGCAGGTGTTAGATCCTAGTGTCACTGACAGCCCAGTGATGTAGAAGACAAGAAAAAAAAAAAAGTCTGTAAAGTAATTGCCACAGCTGTATTTTGGCTTTCTCCTTTTTTGGGTAGCTTGTATCAAATGTTGCAGTTTATATTGTGGAATAAACCCCTGGTTATGTTATAAAATTAAATGTTGGTGTTTTTGAAACGCAGTTTCATTTCCCTCTGGGCTGATATTGATTGCACCCATGGGTTCTCTTAGTCAAGAGAAATCCACCTTTTAAAAAAAAAAATGTAGAAGCTGTGAGTTTTTTCTTACCTTATTCATATATTTGGGTTTGGGAGAAGATGGATCAAAACGTTATTTAGAGCAAAAAGAAGAAAAAAAACCCAAACACAGCCTTTTTCTCTTGCAAAGCTTTTCCAAAATAGAAATTATTTGCAGGTTGGGTGAATAAAGGGTTGAAACCACGATTTGTGGTGTGGCAGGGGCAGGAGCAGGGACTTCAGGGGGTACCTTCCCCAGCAGATGGGTCAGCAGAAGGG